TTTCTGGATTACCGTGTTTGTTGGTAGATAATCTTTAAAAGATCACCTTCTTGAAACATTACAACAGACTCTTAGTCATGAATCACCAAGAAAAGTCTGAGATTTTAAAATGTACCGTTTGCAAATTCGACACAGCTACTCCTACTACCATAGCCATTGACGACGCTAAGATTCCACCAACCAGAGGATCAGGAACTGTAGATAATATAGCACCAATCTGAATTTTGTTTGTGAGAATCAGCTTTTTGTAACAAAAAATTTCAATTCTTACTTTCGTGCAAACTCCTAAAACAATCAGCAGTACTCCCGCAACGACCATAGTCCAACGGGATGCCACCCTAGTTACTCCTATCACACCAATGTTCTCTGTATGTGTGGTCATACCGACAGCTGGTCCAAGAAGACCAGATATAAAAGATCCCATACCTAAATCAGATAAACCGTATAGACTGTGAGGATTAATCCGCTAGTCCTCAGTAGTTTACCCTCAGCAAGGATGCCTCTGTTGATGGCATGACTTGGTGGTGCTCTTTCTAGGGACATTCTGGCGGCTGCATGGTAGTCTCCAACAGATTCGAAAACGGACGTCATTGCCGATAGCAAGAAAGCGATGAATAAACTGACATTGAATGTGGGAGCACCAAATTTTCCTAAAAATCATTAGATGATACAAAAGTACTCATAAAAGAGCGAAAGCAAATAAAAAAGCGAATGTCATAGGTAGGTCACCTGGGTAAGGTACCGCTATCCATGCCGCATTCCTAATCGCTTCTACTTTGTGTGGAATGTCGACACGAGCTGGACCACCTGGTTCTACGAGGTTGCATACGGTAAGTATCAAGCAGAACGCCCAGGATATTGCTATGGCAATAAGGTACTGTAAGTACGAATTGTATCGTTTTGCATGTGCAGTAATCCAAGTAGTGTTCCAGGAACTTACTGGATATTGTCCAAATAAGTTGGTTCTATACCAATGCAGTTTGCCATATTTTATACCAGGTAGGGGCACGAGAACATCAGCCAGATAGAGAATAGTAATGAAAAGGGTGACGGCTTGACTGAAAAGAGGTACTGTAAGCTACGGTAACTATAGTTCCAGTACGTTAAAAAAAATATTAGCAGTCACTTACAAATGGAAAAGTATCTGTAAACTTTTCTAAAAAGTCACTTTTCTTGCTCTTTCTAATTCTACTGTGAAGCAAGGCGATATCAAGATCATCTACAAACTATCGTAACTATACCGTATCTCTTTAAATATA